AGTAAGGTGAATTTCAGATTCCATTAAGCAATTAAACAAGAGATGCATTCATTCTCTAAGCTTTGGTAGATGCCATTTCTGCCTCTAAAAAGATATCCTGTCCACTAATAGAATGGTGCAGTGCAGATAGCAAAAAAGGCTTGTTTTAGGGCAGAGTTGGTGATCTGGATTACGACATTGGCACTGCATGCAGAAATTCCCAGTTTTAGTCTCCAGCATCTCAAGAAAAGGTCAGAAAGAGCCCAAGATGAACAGCTGGGGTAGCCATGAAAAACTAGCACCTTATGTGATAAAGTAAGGAGAAAGAAAATGAGATATTTTCGAGTGAGGATGAAAGGTTTCTTCTAAGGCCACATTAAAGCATTATCCAGATCTAGTTCACTGACTTTTCACTAGGGTTCTTCAAAGGGGTCAATATTGACCCCAAAGGTCAATGGAGCTACCCAATATCAAGGGGTTGATATAGTTATTATGCTTGGTCATATAATTCAGCCAATTGTTTAGACTGGATTCGGCATTTTTATCCCTTTTATTGTAGTAGTAGAGCTGTTGTACTATTAGTTAAAGTAATCTGGGTTTAATTTTTCATCTAAATTAAATGTTTGAGGGTCAATAAACAACCTGAAACTTCATGAAGTGTTTGTGGATCTTGTTTTTAGCTCTTATCTGAATAGGAAAGAAAGAGAAGGAGTCTTGTGGAACTTTTGCTGGATGCTTTTATGAATTTTTTTCAGGAGATTCTGATCTAACATGGGTTGACTGAAGGCCCTGGGACTTCTTTCGCCTTTTGTCTATTCTGCTCAACAATTCTGGGAACTGCAGTCTCAACATCTGGAGAAAGTTGAGGAACGTGTTTAAAAGACCCTCAGCTTTCTCCAAGATGGCACTCTGGAAACATACCTGGACACAATGTCTATCCTACCCTTCATGCTTGCAGGACTAACGGTTGGGAATATTGGATCTTGTACTCCAAATGTATTTAGACTGAGTGGGTCACATGCCTCAGGGAAAATTATGTTCAGTTGCACAGTCTCTTGTTCTCTCCCTACAGAACATTGTTCAACTGTATTTTTAAAATTACCCTGAACTCATAAGCCCACGTGATTATTATTTTTAAAAATCATCATAGTGTATATCTCCTCTGCTGGGCAAGTATCTGGAACGCTCTGCAAGCAAACAAAATAATTTAGACCTCCATCCTTCCCTTATCATTATTTTAGACAGGTTGTGCTGAAACCTTTATTTCTGGCAGGATAAGGACAGGGACATGTAGAAGAAGATAAGACGAAGTACTCTGATCTTTTAAACACCTCTTTGATTCCTAAATCTAAAAGAGAATTTGATGACTAGAGGAACATCAAGCTAGATCAACTCAATTAAATCTCTCCTTGCCCACGAAGAACTAGATTTTGTGGAGGGGGGAAAAACATAAAGAAAGAGGGGGGGAGGTGGGAACAGCTGGGCATCCTGCAGTTAAGGTCTCTTTGAAGGCTTCTGTTGACCTTTTATCCTGTACAAAAATCTGTTTGCAGTTTTAGGAAAGGGCCTTGAGGTAGCCAAATGATTAGTCAGGTTCAAAGTCAAGGCAGCCACATTATTCTCCCCCGGGAGGAAAAAATAACTTGTTTGCTCTGGTCCTCCCTCCTTCTCCTTCCAAGCTTGCTAACCCATGCAAGGTTAAAGCGAAACAATCCAATGGGGGAGAAAAAAAAAGTCCAGAAAAAACATTTCAGTAGTTATTAAGATCAGAGAGTCTCAAACCAGCCACAAAAACTGGATGGAACAAAAACAAAAAGAGATTTGATGCCTTTTCCAAAAACCTGTGAAAGCATCGGTGGAAGTTGAGGATTAGAAGAAAGAAAACCAGCAGCTCTGATGCAGAATTTCATTCCTAAGTATGTGAATCCAAATGGGTTGTTGTTGTTTTTTAAAGTCTGCAACATAATATTTTAGATGGAGCTGAGGAAGTCAAAAAGAGAATGGGGAGGGAGTTGGACAAGGGGAGGGCAGGTTAAATAAAATAAGAATAAGCATCAGAAAGAAAGATACAAAGACGATGTCAGGAGTGTCCGGAAAAATTTGTCAACTTTAGAAAGAAAGGTGTGACAGGAAGGGGGAATAGGGAAAAAATATGAATCCTTCTGTGGGGGAGATGGGTGGTTCCAAAATATGCCTGACTGCCTGACTGCCAGACTGCCAGACAGTTATAGATGAGAGAGACAAAGAGAAAGAGAGAGGGGGGCAGATATATTAGATAGATAGACAGATAGACAGACAGACAGACAGACAGACAGATGTATTATAGATGAGAGAGAGAGAGAGACGCAGATGTATGATAGATAGATAGATAGATAGATAGATAGATAGATAGATAGATAGATAGATAGATAGATAGACAGACAGACAGACAGACAGACAGACAGACAGACAGACCTATAGATGAGAGCGAGAGGCAGATATATGATAGACAGACAGACAACATATTATAGATGAGAGAGAGAGGCAGATATATGATAGACAGATGGATGGATGGATAGATAGATAGATAGATGATAGATAGATAGATAGATAGATAGATAGATAGATAGATAGATAGAT